CCTGGAGACATCCGATAGATCCTACCCCTTGGAATACTAGACCCTGGGATAATCTCTATCGCGTGGACGACCTCCCTCTCAACAACCCCTGTCGGCTCTTCAAATAGATCAGGGTACTTAGCAACTACTTCCTCTATCTCTGGCGGCATTTTCACCGGCTCACCTGCAGCAGAGACATAGACTAAGTTCATACCCTCCTCCTGATTTTGCTTATAATAATTATAGAATGCGGCCGCACACATGCACCCATAGGACTCAATCAGAGTACYAGCTTTGAACTTTTGTAATCTGGCGGTCCCTCCACCTGGCAACGTGTGTTTGACCACTTTTTGGTCCCAGTCAAACTGGGGCTGTGCTACAGAGAGGTAGTACATACCTAGTAACATGTCCATTGGGAGCTCGTCACTGACCAGGAACGAGACACGATGTCTCAAGTCCCCTCCCGCRTACGGGAAAACACACTCTACATYATGGAGGTAGTCATTAACTACCATACGCTGTTTGTTGGCACAGGTCGACTCCACAGGTCGACTCAGGCGCTGCACTTGCCCCTGTAAGCGCAGCCTCTCAACGCACGCGCGGCTCATAAAGTTTCTAGTCGAGCAAGTGTCGTAATAGGCCCCGGCCTTGCGGCCTCCTATGACTACCTCGCTGACAAACATTTCACTCTTAGGGGCTTTAACTAACGCCGTCCAAGAAGCCAGTGGATCTGATCTAGACCACTCATGCTCTAGCTCCTCTAAGGATTCAAACACATTCATCGAAGAGAGGGTCGATGAGTCTGAATGTGTTTGCGGGACGACTGAAGAGTCTGTAGCTTGGGCCATCTCTCGCGAATGTGAGGGTGAATCCACCATCGCGACCCTAGTAGGAACAACTACTATCCCTACTGGCCCGACGTGTTTCCCGGAGCACTGCTTGAAGAACTAGCAACGTTGCTACCAACGGTTTGAGAGGATCCTACTGCCGACCCCATAGTGGGCGGGATCTTCTCGGTGACCTTCCTATTGCGGCACTTGTACATGCTATGGCCATATTGGCCACACTTGATACAAGCTTGCCGTGCCCACCGATCTCTCCACACATCCTCAGCTAGACTCGCTTTCTCCCATGGAGGAGCACTGGGATCTGTTTGACTCTTCGACCGGGATCCCCTAGGGCGTCTACCGGTCCCTTTACCTTTTTGTTGGGTTATGGCTGCGACTACTCCACCCTCTGAAGTATCGCCGTCTGCCTCTGCACCTACTCCCTCCTGGAAGTTGCCGTCCAACTCGATGGTTGATCCATCGTTGTCGACAAACATAATGTGACCTTTCGCCTTCCAGTTGGGAGGCAGTGTYTTCTTTCTCCCTTCCGTAGTGGGTGCCTGTCCATGCCCTATCTTTGCTTCTAGGTCTAGGGCCACCTTGYTGAACGAAGGAAAGTTGTGCATATTAATGTTGGCCTCTTTCGCCAACTGGTTCCTGAGTGGCAGAGATAAGGTCCTCGGGTACGAAGTTAGCAGGACCTGGGGGTCATAGCGTACCCCTGGAACACAAATCAAACGCTCTACAGCGTCGGTGGCATCCCTTACTGACTTAAACTGCCGCGTGTGCAGTGTCAG